TTTATTTAATTTGATATTGAATTATAAGATGTTTATGTATTCCCTTGTTATGTCTGGTAAATGGTCAGCTGCTAAAATGCTTGGGAGAGCCTTATGATTATTACTTTGGATTTGAGGGGTTGCTATGCCTATGTGTGAAATTGTATTATTGTCACCTTGTGTATGTATGTTCTAACCATTCTTTATTTATTGCTGGGTCCTCTTTAGTGAAGCACTGCTTACCCTGGTGCCACCGGTGTTTGTTCCTATGCCAGGCCTGCAGGGCCCAGGAGTGTAAGGGCTATAACCTAATAAGAAGACCTCTGGGAGTCAAGATTTATGTTGATAAGTGCTTTTGTCTGTCATATCCACTTTGTCTCTGCCCGTGTATATGAGTAATAAGATGTACTCCCTTAGTAATATAGATCTGTAAATAGTTCTTGAATATATCTATATGTTTACTAAGCTTATTGGTCCTGTAAATAAAGTTCTATAAATAGTTAAATTACACTGGGTGACCACTGTCTCTGATCTGCTCTGCTCTGCTCTGTGGGGGAGGATGGTGAATTGGCTCAGGCTAAGCAGCTACACTCTCATGGCACACACCTCCAAACATCCCTTCATTTGAGGAGGGGGTACCAGCTGCGTACCACCTGGGTTACATTAACTTTTGCCATAGAATATCTGGGGGGATTCACCAAAGTGCAATAAGCTTGCAATTTTTATGCCCAACTACAAAATGCCTGCCCTTAAAAAATCACATCCATAGTATCAAATAACTATATGTAGATTCTAAGCAGGAGCATCTTGTTCTGAGAATCTAGCTTGAGTCAGCATGAAAGAAAACAACACAGCTGTTATTTCACACAGCAGTGGTTCCTTCTTTCAGTCTTTTGAGAGTAATGGAATAGGCACCATGGTGGTGTAACTCAGAAGTCCAGCAATAATCTAGGGCAGTGGTGCTCAAATTCCAGCCCACAGGCCAGATGCAACCTGCAAATCATAGAATTATAGTGATGTCGGGCTGGAAGGGATTTCCAGAGGTCATCTAGTCCAACCCCCTCCCTGAGGCAGGATCATCCCTATCCAAACCATCCTATACAAATCCATAATCTAAACTCTTTGTAAAACTACCCTCAACCCTGACACAACACAAGACATAACACCCTAACCTCTCACAGGTAAAGCAAGGGAACCACATCAGACAGTGTTCTGCTTCTATAAAAGGTTGTTAATATACATGCAAGAGATCCTGGGTAGAGGGCCACACCCTGATAGAGAGGGAGGCAAAAACCTCCACAGTCTATACCAGTCTCATCATGGAATAAAATTCCTTCCTGACCCCAAATATGGGGATTGGTCTGACCCTTTGAGGGAGGGGTAAGACCGTCTAGCCAGGAATCTCTGTTTAAGTCCCAGCAGCAGCACTAGCACACCCCAGTCAAAATCCCCAGCCTTGGCTACAACTGACTCCCAATGCCTCCAAGGAAGGCTTAACAACGCCAGTGTGAATGGCTCATCATCAGCATGTCAGTGCAAGGGAACATTCCTGCCACTTGTCTTCTCCTTTCTCCTACCACTGAACTCAGCAAAAGAGGAAAGGAGGGTACGAGTAGTGGCAGCATTCACTCATGCTGACATGCCTCTCAGCTCCAAGCTTTCATGCAACTCCAGCTCCCAGGAGCTGAGAAAAGCCACCATTCACTTTCCCCCTCCTCCAAATTCAGCAGGGAAAAGAGAGGGTGAGAACTGACAGTGGTCAGCTCCTGGGCTCCGGAGCTATGTGAAAGCTCTGAGCTCATCCACATGTCAGCACAGGCTCCAGCTGGAGCCACAAGCTTTCGAACTGAGCACCGCTGCTGCTGCTGTTTGTTGACTCTTTTCCTTGCTGCTGAATGTAGTGGTGGGGAAGGGGAGGTGAATGGCTGTGATACTCCTGGGCTCTAGAGATGTGTGAAAGCTGTGGCTCCAATCCAGAGTCTGCACTGGCATGGAGCTCCAAGCTCTCACAAAACTTTGGAGCCCAGGAGCTGAGTGCTGCCACTGCTGCTTGGTCCCTCTTTTCCCAGCCACAGAATTCAGTGCAGGGATAGGGGGCGGTAAACAGTGGCTGTACTCGGCTCCTAGGCTCCAGAGCCCCACAAAAACTTTGGGAGTTGGAAGAGGAAAGGCAGTGGAGACCCACCATTGGTGGCCCCATGCATCCATGCACACATGCCTATGGGGCTCTGGTGAAGCACAGGGCTGGCTAGGGCACCTAAAAAAAAGTTATTTAGAAAAAAACCCAGTGCTCTGGGGCAGAGAGTGGTCCCACTCCACCATGCTCCCAAAGCACACAGCTGTCCCTTCAGGAGACACTGGTAGGGCACTGGGAAGTGCTGGGAGCAAAGATAAGGTACAGTGCTGCCAGCTGGGCAATCTCCATCTTCCACCTGAATGAATTCTTGAATGAATTTATGCAGTTTAAAATTGAACTACAAAATATTGAACATTTTACTTTGTATCCATGAGCCTAAAGTTACTAAAACTATGTTTTCCTACTATTACTGAAACTCCTCAATACTGGGATATGCCAAACTAGTATTATAAGGCTTGTCTATATGGCCTTTAGCCCATTTTTTTTATTTTAAGGTTTGGCCCACTTGTAAAAAAAGGCTGAGCACCTTGTCTATCACTCAAAAGACAAGGTGATCATTCTTGGGTATAATGATAGAGCAGTGGGATAGGGAAGTCCAGGACCAAGTGCATGTGAAGACTGAGTCTCCCTTTTCACTTGGAAGAGGTGATTGCTGCCAGATTACTAATTGATAGAACAATTTGAGGAGCTCAGAAATAACTGTATACATATTTTACAGCTATATGATTATCTTGAGGGTTTACAATGACTGGGACTTACCCCTTGAGCCACTCCAAAATCCTTTATAAGAAGCAGAACTTGCTATTATTCAGTTGGGCATGCAGTGTATTTTATGTCCAGATAAGTCATTCCCCACTCTGCTTTCCAGACCAGAACAGCAGCCTCCCAGGTCTGCGAATATCTGACAAGGAGTTAAAATGCAACAAGACTTGTGACCCTGCTGATTTTGCACAGCTAGCAAAAGGGGGAACTTTCTAACACTGACAAGAGCACAAGGAAATACTTCTTTCCTCTCCACACCCTGAAAGCTGTACTCAGAAATAAAATTCAAAAAGCCAAGTGAAAAAAGAAAAACAACATTGACATTCTAAAGAACTTAGGGCAGACCAATTAATTTTGGAGAATTTCAGGAAGGAATGCACATCCACATGATTTCCTGGAATCCAGGCAACTGTGTCATGTACGGCACATTAGATCTAAATTATGCACCAGGAATTTCAGATTAATGCAACAGGGATTTCACATTTATGTGCAGAAAGTGCTGGTGTACAGTGGAGGAACAGCAAACCAGAATCAGTGAAGCAGCAATGAGAAAGACATGTGTGAGAGCTAGTTGGGAAATGTAAGCAATTGTGATGAGAAATGGGAGTTAAAAAAGGATGACCAGGATGTGTAAGGTGGCATTCTACACCTGTAACCTCACCGAGTATTCAGAGTTTATGACACTGCACTTGATAACCTGGAGATTTCGCATGCTAAGTAGGAAATGTGTAAAAGAAAATCCTGGAGGAGATTCCAAGAAGGCAGAAAGAGTAAGAGGAGTAAGAGGAGATAAAAAAGGCAGAAGTTGAACATCCTCCTAGAAAAGAAAAGAGAGAGAAGATGGGTGGAGAATAAGGCTTAGCACTGAATTGGCACTTTCCACATTCAAAGCACTGTACAAACATTAACCCATCAATCAACTAATTGCCTAATTAAACGATGGATAAAGAAAGGGAGAGTGCAGGTGAAGAAGGAGTTGAGTGGAAAGGAGTGTGAATGCTGGGATGTGGGTAACAATGCAAGCTCCCATTCATCCACATGGCATTATCCTCCTCGAACCTGTGCCAAATTGCCATGACAATAATTAGCCAGAGTTCCCTGACAGATCATTATGAGAACATTAGCAGGGCATTAGCGAGAATTACCCATTTTTCACACATTGATTACATGCCATTGCTGGCTCATTAGTGTATCGGCTTCTAATAGCCCCTCTCACACTAGCAGCCACCCCCTCAGCTGAGATCTAAACCTGCTTAACTCTGAGCAAGTGGCGTGCACGCATGGGCTCTGCGGCATCCAATAACCACAGAGCGTTTTTCCTCATTCAGGAGGAACCTCATTAATCTAGCTGGGTTAGATACAGTGAGGCAGGGACTGACTGCACACACCGCAGGAAGTCTGTAATCATACTCCCAAATCTACACTGTTAACTGTGGATGGTACAAGGAGGGCTCATCTACCTGTGCAATTAGTTTCCCCGAATCAACTCCAGTGCAGTTTGTGCTGCAGTTTATTGTTCCAGGGCGCTGTGTTTATACATGCACTCAGGACGATGCAGCTCTGGCTCACAGAGGGGGGTCAGCTTGCCAGTCTGGAGCTGCTCTACGGCAGCTCAACATGCTTCAGAAGAGTTGGCTGGGGCATGAGGGTGCTATAATGCAGGGCTAGCCAGCAGGCAGCTCCGCACTGTAGCACCCTCATGCCCCAGCCAGCCCTGGTCACCATCTACATGTATGTTGTGGTGGAATAAATCTGCCATAGGATAGTACTTTTGTCTGGCAGTACTATCCAACAGCAAAGTTAATTAATTTATTCCAGCCTCCTCGGGGCACACGTGTAGACAATGATGCCTTATTTTGGAGCTAATTAGTCAACTCCACAGTAATGAGCATGTGTAGATGCCCCTGGAATTTATCATTACCAGGGATCCGGGTTTTCTGTTTTCCATAGAAAAATGTGGATTTTTCCACTTAAAGGAGAAAAACCCGATTTTCCACTTTGAAGCGGGAAACCTCGGGTTTCCTCTTGCAGGATGGCAGAGTTGCAGCTTGCAAGGAGCTGCCTGGGGCTGGAGGAAGGGAGGGGAAGGGAAATTGGAGACAGGGGACACCACATACATGTGTGTGTATGTGCCCACATACGTGGCCAGCAATACAGCCAGGCAGGGTGGTGGGAGTAACCCTGACAGTTGGATAAAGGTAAGTCTTCCGGATGAGGGTGGGCCAGGGCTTGGGTAGTGTCCAGGGGGCTGTGTGTGTGTGGAGGGGGTGTGAGGTGTACATGTGTTGCGGGGATGTGTGTTTGGTGGGGGAAGAGTTGTGTGTGTATGTGCCTGTGATACAGCACAGGTGCCTGCCAGTTCTGGGGGTAGGTGTCTGGGTGCTGGGGCTGCAGTGGGGCAGGGTGGTCAAGGATCTGCACTGCTGTCAGCAGGGTCTGCCCAGAGGCGCCTGCCCCTCCAGTGGGGGAATTGTGGGGGGGCCTTCAGGGGTGGTGGGGAACTCTGTGGCCAGGCTGGCAGCACCAGGGGCCAGTGCCCATGCTCACAGAGGCAGGATGGCTGGGAGATGCTGTGCTGTGGGAGAGGGTGGCCAGGCCACCTGGTGTAGTACAGGAGGCCAAGCTCAGGTTAGGGTGGTGCTGTGCTACAGGCATCCCTTCCTCCTCCTTCCAGCCCCCCAGCGCATCACCAATGGCACTGTCTATGCCCACACCCCCCCTGCACCACACACAGAGGGGCTGGGAGCAGGAGACAGCTGGGGGTCCCCTCCAGCAAGGCTGAGGGGGCAGGGGGATGTGGGTCAGGAGTGAAGGGCACCAGCTGAGCTGGGGTGGGAGACAAGCGACTGAGAGTTGGGAGTAAGAGGCACCAGCAGGGACAATCCCAACTGTGGGTCAGGACTGAGGGGCAGCAGGCGGTCTGGGGAGGGATGGGGAGTAGGGGCTGTGGGCTGGGAGTGAGGGGCACTGGCAGGGCAAGGGGACTGTGAGTCGGGAGTGAGGGCATCAGTAGTGACATGGGGGGGGGGCTGTGGGTTGGGACTGAGGGGCACAAACAGGGCTGGGGACAGTTGTGACTTGGGAGTCAGGGGTACTGGCATGGGCAGGGGCAGGACACCAGCATATCAGGGCTGCTCAGCGCTACAAAGTATTGGGGGAACAGCTGCAGCTGGACCTGCATCCTGGTGAGCCAAGGGGGCAGGGGGAGCTCTGATTTTCCATGATAAAAAAACACAATGAAATGCCAAAATATACAGGAATTTAGAATTAATTTTATTATAATGATTGAGGCACTGGCAGGCTTCCAAATTGCTTTAAAATTGGAAATATATCAATACAATATTGTGTTCAACTGATACCTGTATATATAGTGGCATTTCATTTTAATTGCAGAAAAACATGGATTTGGGGGGTTTTAATCAGAGATTTTGGGATTTTTTTTATCAGAGAAAACCAGGATCCCTGCTCATTACACTCCCCAGAGGCCCCTTTAGCCCCATGCTGGGAAGGGCTTTCTCTGTGTCTGTTTTTCCCCCCAAAGTCCCTTCTGATTCATACTGAGAAAAGCTGTCTCTGTGATCACAGATTCCCATCCTTCTTCTTCCCCTCCTGATCCATAACATTTCAAAATGTTATTTTAGACAGAAACATGCCCCTGAGGACTCCAGCAATTCTCCACATTCACTCCACACCTTGATCATGTGAGATGATAACCAGGTACTGTCAGCAGAAAGCATGACTGGGTTTAAATGTGTTTCAAGAGAACTGGAGGGGTGGCCAAGTCAATGGGATTACTTCCACCATGAAAGTAAAACACTTGTTTTGTGCCTCTGGAAACAAGAGCAAGGCTAAGCCAACAAAAGGTGATGGGCAACTGAGGAATCTTCCTCCTCCCCTCCCCACTTGACACATCACCACCTGCCCACCTATGCTCAAACAAATTTCATTTGAATCATAGGTTTGGGAAGGTACAACAATCCTCTTAGTGCTATTATATAAGTGACTGTGCCTTATTAACCCATCTGGGTTCAAGAGGGCTACCTGAGATGAGAAGTTCTTCCCCACTATCCCCCATCCCCTCACTGCCACCTGTCTCTCTCATTCTTTCTCTCTCTTTCTAAAGCTGTATGTGAAAAGAAGAGGATGGAAGGTTCATTTATTTGTTCAGAGGTGCGTAAAAGGAGCAAAGTGAGGGGAATGACATGAAAGTCAACTGAGGACAGAGAGTGGTGAGGAAGGGGGTGGGGATCAGTGGTATCCAAGGCTGAGGAGAGGGGGAGAATGATGAGGCTGGAGAACTGGCTCTGGGACTTGGCCAGGAGGAGGCTGATTGAGGCCTTGGCAAGAGAAGCAGAAAAGTTTCCAGAGCTGAAGCCAGCTTGGAGGGGATACAGAACAGAGTGAGAAGACAAAAAATCAGGAAGTGATGGCAAGAGTCCCATTTAGTGGGTTTAGAGGTAAAAGAAAGAATGGGCAGTAGATGGGTGGGACCCAGGTCCTAATTAGTCTTGGATACAATAGCATTCCACCTAGCTGCAGTACTTTGTGCTTCCTCAGCCCAGGGGACAGGAGTTGTGGGGTTGGCATGAAGAGGTAGCTACCTTGTGATTCAAATCCATACACATCTGTAGAAGAGAGTAGGGCACTGGGCCCATGGTCTGGGTTAGGCCCTGGGCCACCAAAAAAAAGCACCCAAGAGCTGCCCAGAGACCAAGTCCAGGCTCAAATAATTTGGCAACCACTTCTCCAGCCAGCACTGATGAATGCTGGGGCTGCAGCTCTGACAAAGCTGAGCAGTGCGTCACAGAAGGCAAATCAAGGTTGACAGCAAGTGCTCTCTGCCCTTCCCTCTTCCAAAAATTAAAATTGTGCCAAATGGAGTGCGTTCAGGAAGACAATGGACAGACACATAGGTGGGTGTGAGAGGGGGAGTGCAGCAAAAGGAAGAAGAGCCAGTGTCTCTCTTAGCAGGAGCAGATCAGAGGTTCAGGGAAACCAACAGAAAGTCTATGAGTTCTAACTGCAAACTATAAATCCATGGAAGGCAGGCAGGGCACCAGGGCTGCTCTACTGACCTTGGGCCAAAACAATCTGTTTTTTAACTGGTGGCAACTGTAACCCAGTCTGCAAACAGATGGTGCAGAGAGAGGAAAAAAGGATACACAAATGCAAGCTCTCCTGTACCTGTTCCAAGATCAGTGAACCTTCAGCAG